CCCCAATATTATTTCCAAAGTTATTCCCCCAAATTCTTTGCATTTCTTACAAGCTGGCCAAACTCAGTGTTCTTGGGTCTGCCTATACCTCCTCTATGAAAGAGAATCTGATGTAAGGCCTTTCTTCTCAAAGAGCTTATGGCCTAATACAAATGTATAAAAAGCCCATACTTTTACCGTCTGCAAAAGATTATGGAAGTCCAAAAAAGGGAGCAATTATGTATTCAGGGGAAGATCACAGAACATTCTGGCAGGACGGGATGTGCTATGGATCTTGAAGGATGGATAGGACCCAGAAATGCAATCGTGTAAAGAAATTCATTCAACAGAGCAAAACCCTGAGGAAGTACCAGGTGGGAAGTGTATGGTGAAGAGAGCGATTCCGTTTGCCTAGACATCGGGCTGTGCTGGAAAGACTGGGACGAACTCATGAAGAGCCTTGATTTATAGGCTCACATTTGAATTTTACTCTATAGGTGACAATTTTAGAACAAAGGAGTGACATTATTTCCGAACGTTCCATCTGGCACCAGTATATGATACTGGGGTAGCGGGAGAAGAAAATGGAGGAACTCCTGAGTTAGGCAAGTGGTAGTGAGGATGGAGAGTTAAAATGGACATAAGAATAGAATTGTCAGAGCAGGAGAGAGGAAGGGTTTATGATGACCCCCAAGTTTGAGTCTGAGTGATTGGGAGGCTCAGAAATTAAGAGGAAGCGGATTGGTGGGGAGAATGAATTTAGGACACTTTGGGCTGGAGAGATCTCTGGGAAATCCAGGTGGAGGCTTTCATTCCTCCCTCATCCACCTTCGGTGTTCCGGGCTCCCCTTTGAAGTCAGGATGGTTTGGGTCCCTGCTCTACTCTTCCCAGCTAAGACCAGAGCTGCCTATTGCCCAGGCTTATCTCACTTGAAGCAGTAAACCCTTGTGACCTGACCCTTTAGGCATAGATATAAGGGCATCATCTTGATGGACCAGCTGAAGATTGGTCATGAGAACCTCGCTGCCTATCTCCAGCCATGTTCTCTGCCTCACAGGATCAGCTTTTGCTTATCTCCTTTCTAAATTCCTGTCCCCTTTCTGATGTTCTCACTCATAGAGACCTTCCTGGGACAGAAACCCCTGTCCCCAGGCTGGTGCCAGGGCCCCAGTACCCATAGACAGAACCCAAAGGCTGAAAGCCAGTCTTTAAAGATAACTTCCTGGGTTTTCTGTCTCTTTCACTTATCTAGGGGACACTTTGTGGCTTCTGGTCATTGACCATTTTTAAGACTCATAGGGATGGCATAACTCTTTCCTGCAAGGCCCAATCTCTAGTGCCATTATCATCCTCAGGGATGAGCCCTGGTCTTCTTCTTACACCCAGGGGCTATTTCAAGCCCAGGTGCTACTTCAAGTTCAAGTGCTGCCACCTCACCAGTAACTCCCAGGAAATGTGACGTGTCCAGCAGGTACACAGCACATGCTGCACCTTGCACTCACCTATGACCTTTGATGAAAGCATCTTGCGTCCTGCCTCCCAGGTTTTGAGCACTCCTTTGGCTTCTCATCCCTCTGTCTGTCCCTACCCTGGTTGTTCTTTCATGACTGGACGCCTGACCTTCGCACCGTACCGGAGGTCTTTGGACCGCTAGTGCTGATGTTTCCTGCCTTGGTTGTTTTTGCCGCTGGTTGCACTTTGGTTCTGACAGTACCATCATCCAAGTCCATGGGAGCTTCCTTTGTGTTATGGTTTGAGATCATGAAAATAAACTGAAACTGGGAAAAGAGCTGGGAGTATCCAGAGCCTCTGTGATTTAGTCAAACATCTTCAACTACTTTCTTCTCATTCTGAAGACTTCACATAATTAAAACCATTCCTGGCCAACACTAAATAAATTTTGCACATGCTGCTTGAATTACTGTGCAGTCTTACCGCAGTGTGGCTTTTTTAGAGATTAATATTTCATTGAAACTATTCCTCTGGGTAGGCTGAAGCCAGCAGCTGTGGAAACTCAACATTTGCTTTATACAGTGAAACTTTAGGACAGGGCTGCTTTTCACATTTCTCAGATATGCTGCTCACTTGGAAAATATAACCATTTCTGGCAGAGTCCATGTGGCATGAGCCAAATATCCCAGCTTGTGTTTCTGTATATTGAGATATAAAGTAATGAGAAAATGTAGTTCAAAATGCCCATCGTATAACTGGTATAAAAAAGTTATAATTACCGTTTATTGAGCACCACTATGTGCTGGGCATCTTACATGTTCTGCGTCCTCACAGACACCCTCTGAGTGGGTCTCTTTGGCTCTAATCTCTGCTCTGCTCTGGATAGCAGAGGCTGACCTGGAGGCCACCTGTTTCAGGCTCAAGGGTGCTCTGGCTTCCTGCTAGGTTTGGCCAAGGGAGGCACTAGTGGGAGGCTGAGAATAGAGGAAATGAGGAAGCCAGAGTATATCCTCCCTCTCGCTCTTCATCAAGCATTTTCTCCAGTAGTGACTGCACCTCCATAGTTCCATATCCCACTGTTTGAGTCCTCCATGGTGTCAGATTCTTCCTGGTGACCCTGACTCCTGAGTGGCACTGCTCCTCCTTTTATCCGGGTGACCCTCGTTCTCTGCTAACACTACTTCCTCCCTCCGTTCCTTCAGCTCCCTGCTGCTTGTTCTTGCTAATCTCTGGAATACCTCATGGTCTCATCCCATACGACCTAACTCCAGCTAACTTCATCTTTTTAAAGTCATACCAATTCGAAATATTTATTTATTTTAATTTTTATCTTTTTACTTTTTTCAATTATAGTTGACATACAATATTACATTAGCTTCAGGTGTACAACACATTGATTAGACATTTGTAGAACTTTTGAAGTGATCGACCTGATAAATCCAAAACCCATCTGACACCATACATAGTTATTACCATACTACTGACTATATTCCCCATGCTATACTCTGCATCCCCATGACTATTTTGTAACCACCAATTTATACCTCTTAATACCCTCTCCCTCCACTTATCCGCCAACCCCCAGACAACCATCAAGATGTTCTTTGTATCTTTGAACTTGTTTCTGTTGTTTGTTTATCCTGTTCTCTAGATTCCACATATCGATTTGAGATATTTAAACTCTCGACTTTGTCATCTCTTGCAGCAGCCTGCAAATCTCAGCTCCTCTATCACCTTCAACCTTTATTTCTATCTTTGTCACTACAACCAATCCCCTGCATTATAATTCTTCTGATGCAAACACTTGAAACAGTGTCTGTTTACTTAGGTGGATTGAGGTAGGCACCATAAGCCTCATTTCAATGGGGAGGAAACAGGATCAGAGAGTTAGCTAATTTATTCAGTCTTAAGATAGGAAATAGTGGAGCTCAGGTTTAAGCTCAGGCCTGATCAATCTTGAAGCTTCTGCCCTTTCCTGTACTTGAGCCTATGTTCTGTTTTTTGGTGTCTTACAAACAAAGTCTAATTTCTCCTGTATAATCTCTTTCTATTCTGCAAAAAGAAAAATCACCTCCTCTAAGATTTTCCCAGATGAAACATCTTCTTCCCTTTAACTGTTCCCCTGGAAGGATAGAAGATTCTGGTTGGAGAGTAGAATTTCTGAGTGTGAGTCAGTCATCCAACTGTCACTCAGTGTCAGCACTGTGCGCTTGCTGTGGGAGACTCTGGGGACAACGAGAAAAGTGAAGACATGGTGTCTGTCCTTAAGGAGTTCACAGCCCAGATTCCAGGGTCAGCACTTTGCAGGTGACAACAAGGTTAGAGGTCTGTCCCTGGAAATGATTTGCTGCAGTGGGTTAGAGGTGAAGTTTGCAGGGATCAGAATCAAAGGAAGCCCCGCAGCTGGCAGGCCAGCATGTTGGATGTGTCATCCACAGGTGTTTGTCAGTCATGCAGAGAAAATTGGGTTTCTCTCTGCTCAGTCATTTCTTTGGGGCCATGTGTATCCTCTTCCCATCCCATGATGTGGGAGCTATTTTCCATTGTGGCCTTTGCATCTCAGATTCTGTGCAACCACTCTGAGTCAGTTCCTAGGGTGGTTTTCATTAGTGTAGAGTGGAAGGTGAAGGCATCTCAAAAAGCTGCTTCCATGCTTTGGCACATGAGTCTCTAAACAACTATAGATCCTGTGCTTCAAGTTTCCTTTCCTTTCTTGCCCTTAATTTCTTTACCAGAAAAACGGAGATAGGAAGGTCCACAAATCCTTTGTGAGGCAAAGGCAGCTGGGATAAGTATCTATAGAGACGTAAATAAACCAACAGCAGTCAGATGCTAAGTCAGCAGG